CTTAAGAACTTAACGTAAAAAGTTGGCCAATTATTAACTGAACAACTTAAGACCTTACGGTCAGCCAATGAGATAATTCTGAGTTCAGCATGTGATAACTGTCAATTCTTCTTTTTATTTTTTTTTATAAATGAAGAAAAAAATACCATTTGTAAACTATCATTCTACTTTTTTATGGACACACATTATCATGAATGTTTTGTGTTTGTTATTGGGAATAAAATATTTATGAGATATGTGAGTGTTGCTACATATACCTATTAGCATCAAGTCTAGAACTGAAAAAAGACAACACTAGTTTGCTAGGAAAGATTAAATCAACATCTTCGGTAAACTATTCTGTATTATTATATTTTTATATTATTGCTTTTAAAGTAGTTAATATATTCTTTCTATAAAGCAAAATCATCATTTATGGGTTTTATTTGGAGGTAAAAGGTACATAGCTTACACTTGTTTATTTCATAAGGTTGTCAGTAATTTGAGATAATCTCTGAAATATAACACCCATGCTCAGCTCTTATGTCACGGACATTTATAAATAGATTTTATTTTTATATCTTACGTTAAGAGCAAACATGACGGGCGCTCTTCCGCCAAAAATCAATTTTACATTTGAGGCAGTTAAAAAAAATTGTAAAAAAAATGGTTCAGGCCAATCGTTGTAAAAATGAACCAAGAATTTCGCTAAACCGCGAAAAACTTTTTAAAGAAAAACAACAAAAATTTCAACTTTTTAACAAATTTAATGTTTTGGCTCTTTACCGGCATTCTATAACAAATATCTTAACTATTTTCTAAATAACTTTTTTTCAAAAAGATTACCAATTTTAAACAGGACCGAAGATTAACATAGTTTTCATTCCGATACTAATTCTATTAAAACAATGATACCAGTGAATATGGCAACGCTGCTAGTCTTTGAAGCCCGTGGTTAAAAGGGTAGCTGCCGTTTAGTTAAATTTGTTAATTCCTGTGTCGAAAAATAGGTAGTTGTTTTTGAAGAGGTGCGAAATTATTGTGATCGTCTTAGTTTGTTGTTGAGGCGTTGTTAGGATTTTTTTAAATTTAGTTTTTAGTTAATTTATGAAATGAAAAATTCTGGAAGGCAAAAATGCACAGCTGACAAATTTCTATTTTATTTGTTTGCTGCCAGAGTTAGTAAATCCTAGAAAAATACGACATGTGCCAATTAGGGAAAAGAGATTGTCAAGAATTTTGCACGCTTAAAAAAATGTGTAATATACAGGGTGTTTCGAAATACATGCGACAAAATTCAGGAACTGATTGCTCGTATGAAATTAAGATGGGTCTTTCCTATAACAAAATTTCCTCAGCCCACCCCTTTTCGAGATATCACCCTTAAAAAGTGGTGACTAAAATTGAGTTTTTATTTTTTTTCTAAAATTTCAGTAAAGCTAGAAACTTGAAATTCTGTAATCGCAAAGGACTAACCACGGGTATTTTTTCAATATTTCTGTTACATTATAGGGGGGTGAAATTAGCAACACTTACTTTATTTCATATCAAACCTTTTTTTCGAGATGAACTTTTATGAAATCCTTGATTTATTTAATTTTTTTTATTCTTGAATTTTTTTCCCAAAACCAATAGCTTCAGAGAAAAAAAATTAACACCCTAATTTATTATTATTATTTTTTTTTAATAAACTGAGTGGAAAACAGTGTAACGGGCTTGTAACTATCGTATCGTACACTCTGTCATTATTCGTTTCTTGCAATAATTTACACCAGTTTACACCAGAAGATAGCACTTAACGAAGCGTTTTAGCCACTAATTTTGGCGAATTTTAAGAAATCATTAACAAGACATTAGAAGCTTAAATTTGGGGATTATATTAAGAATAGTGCTGTCGAGGAATGCATTTATTTTCATTATGATATTTCAAAATTAAAGGCCTTTTAGTTTTTTTGGGAAACTGGAAGGAATTAAAACATTAAAATATATGCATATTATAGATATTATTGCCTAATTTATTTTGATAAAATTTAAATATTTTGAGATATTCTTGTCCGAAAATTATAAGGGGTATGAACAGAACACCTTAAGATTGAAAGAGAATTAACTTTAATTCATGAGATGCAAAGCATCATAATTGTCGCGTCACAAAAACCACCTGCTGCCAAGAGAAAATTTTGATTCAACAGTGTTGTATATTTTGTGTTGTAAAAGAGAAAAAAATTAACATTTCGTGTTTTAATAGTTATTTTTTTAATTTAATAATCTATGTGAAAAAAAATTTTTTTAATACAAACTTTAAAAAATTATTCCTTTAATACAATAAATACAATTTACCTATCTCCAATTCATCACTTTCCGTATCCATATACCTAGGGTCCGATAACAATTAGAAAAACACCGCTACGTCATAACTATTATTTCCAATATACAGGGTGTCCCGAAATTAGACGGTCACATTTTAACAGCGTAATCTACATCCTACAAGCATTAGAAATTAAAAATTAAAAAAAACCGAATTCAAAAACGTGCAGATGCCGTCACCACATCTTAACCAAATTTATATAGGATCACCCCTGAGGTACCCCCTTACTACCAAAAAAAGAATCATATAAATCGGACAAGGTGGTAAAGCATTATCGCTAAACATACATAAAAAATTAAGAGTTTAAGAATTTTCTCATGGGCCCAATTATTAGATTTTGACCAAATTTATATGGAACCACCCCTGAAGTACCCCTTTTCTAACAAAAAAGAATCATTGAAATCGGACACCGTGTTAAAGAATTATCGCTGAACATACATAAAAAAAAATTAAAAAAATATTGCGACGAATTGAGAACCTCCCTCCTCCTTTTATGATGTCGGTTAAAAATAGGAGTAAAAGTTTATATAAACATAGGTCCGAAAACGTTTCGTTTTCGAGATACAGGGTGTTACAAGTGAAGTCCAGATGAAATATTTTCTAAAATTTCTTTAGTTACCGGTTTTTCAAAGTTTAAAAAAAAATAAAATTTCTAATTCTACAGACCTACTAATTATTGTTTACACTTTCGAATAAGGTAACGTGCTTTTCTCTTGAAAATGGCGCGTCCTAGCGAGATGCAACAAATGTAGCTTTATTATACAAAAAATATTGGTTTTCCAAATTTTATAGTCAAAAAATGTGATGTGTCCAACACATGACTTTCCTATCTAGTTATTATAGGCTTTTTCTGGTTATTTTGTACAACTTATTGCAGTACCTCTATAAATGTTTAGAGGATAAACTAAATATATACATTTTCCACATACATCTATCTATCTCGAAACATTTTTCTATAGTTATTCATTGAAAACGAAAATACTGAAAAATTTAAATTTAGCAATTTTCCTACAATTTTTCCATTACGGTCCATTTTAGAAAAATCATGTATAAACAAAAATTATAGAGATCGATATCGCAAACAACTTTTAGTTTAGTTTAGAATTTTGCACATTTTGTCAAATTTCTCGAATACGGACCATTTCAGGAAATTTTGACATAAAGCAAAAATTATAGATAATAATATTAGAAGTAACTTTTATTTGAATAATTTTCTTCTCCAAACATAAATAACAGATATATTCAATAAAATATAGAAACGGCCTCCCATAAAGTACCCCCCCAGATGTTCCGACTTTGTCCAAAATCTAATTATTTCACGTCAGGCCGAAATAAAACTTAGGTTTAAAATTTAGTGTTTTTCTGTGTATCGGTTCATGAGTTATGGTGGATATAGACATACAGATACACACGGCAATTTTACCCTAAGCTCCCCCTAATTTACCCACCTAAGAAGATGATCAATAACTGGGATTTAGTCCAATAAATGAAGCGTAAAAAGGTAAGTATTTGTAACAAATTTTACCTAATTATCTTTAAACGTTTAGAAAATATTTACAAAAGTGTGGTATCAGGACTTCACCTTTAACACCCTGTATCTCGGAAAAGAAACGTTTTCGGACCTATGTTTATATGAACTTTTACTACTGTTTTAGGATGTAGATTACGCTGTTAAAATATGACCGTCTAATTTCGGGACACCCTGTATATCATCTATAACTATCAATAAATAAAAAATATTTGAGTTGTTTGGTTTAAAAATAGTATTCCTACATTCGTATATTAACAAGCCACTAACCCCCAGTAGGCGGCGATAGCCAACGAATTATACCTACCTGAATTGTAATCGGACCCTTCAGCGTACGACACACAACATTGCCAAATTTATGTAGCGAACAAGGTTCCAAATACTTTAAGGGGAGGTCGTGATATTCGTGCGGTGTGACGTCAGGGACTGGATTGCTCTTAAGTTTTTACGGCGTTCAGTTACGTTACGGTGATTATAAATTATACTTAAGGATATTGTAACAACAGTTCATAAATATAATTTTCAATAAGATGACCTAAATACACTAATTATTGTTTTTCATTTGTAAATGGTATTGATTTCTCAATATTTATGAGTAAACCGAAAAAACTAGAATATAAAAATTGAAATAACTTTAAAACCTGTCATTATCTATAAGAAGAAATTTATTGATAGTCTAGTACATACCAATCAAAAATTTGCTAACCCATAAATCCTACTCACGTAATCTTCGTGCACGAAATGTGTAATGCTTGTCTAAAATTTCATTTTTTTATTAAATTTTGGAGCAGTAAAATTAAAATTCCAGAAACCACCTGACTAATAAGTTTAAAAAAGGTTTTTCATTATTCTTAACGCAATGCTAATTGACAAATTTAAACCCGCTAAATGAGTTTTTAATTATTTGTTAATTACTGGAGCTCGTATGAAGGTTTAATGAGCTGTAATTGGCACAAACAAAAGTTGAATGTCACTTAAATGAATAAAGTAATCTCGTTTTTTTTTTGGAAACACAATTACTTGAAAATCAAATTACTATATCGAAAAATAAGTGTTTGAAATCACAGGTTTCTTCGTTGTCACTTGATAAATCGCAATTAAAATCAGTTTTAGGGCATAGGTTCATACCTATACTGTTAAATATTTTTCTACTAGCACCAACAGAGGTTATCTTATTTGTAATTATGTAATCAGCAATAGGACTCATCACCAAATTTAACAGCCAATAGGTTAAGTATGGAAGGGCGGACAAAGTACTGTTCTGTAAAAAAATAATAGTAGTATTCACTAAATCTTAATTCTTTCTATGTGAAACTTACCGCTGCAATATCGTATTTTAAAATCTTATCCAAGTAGGTTGGTATTTCTGTCAGCATGGTCCAAAATCCCCACAGGTCTCCGAAGTGGCAAATTAAAATTGCCCAGAATGGCAGTGATTTCAAGATATCCTTCCATGGAGTTGGCAAATGCTAAATTAAAATAAAATATATCCAATTTAAAATATATTTTACTTTTCATATATAAAATCTGAACGTGAGTGGACCAATCAAATTAGAAAAATATTCGTTGTCAATAATGAAAATAAATTTAAAAAGAGTGTTGTAATGTTAACTATATTGTGCAAATTAACTTCTGTTTTTAATCTTACGATTAGTAAGTCAAAAATTTTTAGTATTTTAATTTTAAGACATGTTTTAGTGTCTTGTTAATGGAAACAAACATTTATGAAATTCAGACTATGATCAAAGAGTTTTACAAAATTCTAACCAACCCTCTATTGATTGAATTCCCAAGAAATGCACTCTCTTTTAACGTATTTCAGTCAGGACTACCCTTCTACTCTAAAAATATATATGTATATAAAATTAATAAAAAAAGTATATTTAATTTTAGAAAATTACTGTTAACAGTTTCTTTAAAACTACCTATAATTTGAAATACATTTAATCATAATGTAACTCTCACTTACCACATGTTTTAAGACAATGTAAGTAGGACATATACCTACAATTATCTCAATTCAAGATAATTTAAGTTTTTGATAATAAAAAAGAGCTATTTTGTAAAATCAAAAACTGCAGTGATATAAATATTGTTAAAGTTCGTCGATTAATTTATGTGATACGACTTATAATATACTTACTTCTTTTTTCTTATTGCTAACAATTCCATCCTGAATAAATTTAAGCTCTTCCGGAGTAATAGATTTATGTTGTGTCGGACTATCTAATCCTAAGAATATCCAGAAAGCTGTCCACGCGAAACCGACGCCCCCAATAAGGTAAAACACAGTCTGCCAACCTAATTTTGATCCAGATATGTACCCAACTATAGGCATCACAAATACGGTACCCAGTGGTCCACCTATAAATAAATTAAAAATAATTAAAAACTGCATTGGGTCGCAGTACCTACAAAATAGTCAGGACCGTATTAAAATTTTTAGAGGATAGGGCTAAAAAACATAAAGAGGAACTAGATAAAGACATTGTTTCGTGTGGCAGAAAATAATATTTTGGTTAAAAAAATCGGTAATATCAATTGCTGCCAAACCATTGTCGCTGCATTATTAATTATTAAGATGTTAAGCATGAAAAAAAAGTGCCACTAAATCATCTGCTCGCGCCTGGCTCTTGTTTTAAGTTATTGTCAGTCCTTCATATTACCAGACGTGTATGTTTCTGCATTATTAAGTAATTAATTTGATTTTTTTATATACAGGGTGTTAGTATATTCGACCGATAACACTCTAGACCAGAGAGCTCTCGTTAATAATTGATGAATTTTGATATAGGAACATAAAACCTTAAAGGGCTTAGTTAGCGAGATACAGTTTTAAATCATAATGCAAAATTTGCCATATATCAAAAACGCCTTTAAAAATGTTTTTCAAATTTATCTATCAAGATCTTGTCAAATTCACGAACTATCAAAAAATTTACACGTGTCTCAAGGGCGGCTTCAGAACGAATTGCTATTAGCCTTTCCCTTTTTAGCATATTTTTTAAATAAAAGGATAATAGATTATAAAAAATTTCATCTCGGGTGAACCGTTACAAAAATCTGCAGACTTTTGTTTAGAAGCTAATTTCTACACCATTCAGTTTAGCTCCATATAAGTTTATTACTTTTTTTTACCTAAAAACAGAATTAAAAAAAAAATAATTTGTCCCAGTGGCGTAAAAAAGTCGGAAAAGTTGCCATTAACCCTGACAGCGCGCGACTGGTTATTTTTTCAACTGTTACTTTATGTCAAAATATTACTTTTTTAAAGAGCATATTGGTCACCAAATTTAAAAAAAATATTTAAAGGGTTTTTGATTTATGGCAAATTTTTAATTTTTATTTCAAACTTTTTTACACCTTGTATCTTGGGATTTATGCCCTTTAAGGGTTTATGATACTATATCAAAATTCATCAATTATTCATCACCCTGTACATGGGGTGTTTCAAAATAAGCGCAAGATGTAGGAGGTGTAGAGTGCGTGAGCAAAGACCTAAGCGATTTTAGAAACTTTTTCAGGGTGCTTAGGGAGTGAACATACTAAAAGTCCTGAGCCGAAAGGGGGTGAGCACAAAGAAGATCCTACTTCTAGATTTTTCACTTATATCTCAAACACGGTGTGTTGCAGGGAAAAAATTGCCAATACTAAATGAAAGATTATGAAATTCTCTACAACTTTTGTTTTAAACCTTCGAACTTTTGAGCGTACACCTGCAAAAGAAATACCCTCAAAGAAAGTTGTAGAGAATTCAATTCCTTTCAAGGATACACATGCCAATTTATCTCCTACTGATCAACAGTTACACCAATTTCAAGAGTTATCGTAAAATTTCATTATTTTCAGAAAAAGCTGTTTTTATCATTGCTGAGCCAGAACTATCATTTGTTATAGCTATAAATAATCTAATAATATATGTAAGTAATCAAGAAAAAATTGTGTACTCGCGAATTATTTAGGTAGTCGTCGCTGGGTGGATATGTGTCTGTGCTAAATAGCTTGCCGTAAAATTTTCATAGATTTAGCAACAATCCTGAACCTCATTTCTTTTTCAATTTTGACCCTGTTTTCGTATTATGCTTCATGATGATTCTATACCCAGTATCTCTAAAACATATCACGGGCATACTGAATCTGTTGACTTCTAGTCTAGAGTGATCAGTATTCAATCTACATATTTCCTCCCCAACTAGCAGCCTTGATGGTTAGTCACTGGGATTTGACTCCTGTTACGGCACCCAGTATCTCATCTTGAGAGAATTGACAATCGCTGCCTCCCTCGTGTAGGTAAAGATCATCTCGATAGCGTGTGTGATATGTTTGCAAGGGCGGCTTCGGGAGGGCGGGAGGCACGGGGTCCTACGCAAATTAGGCCTGGAGCCGCCCTTGTATGCCTGCCTCTCAGGATCTTAGATTTAAGAAAGTGATAGGCTTCACAAAAGTATGGTAGCAGTCTTTGTAGTATAGTGCCTTCTTAGCAACCAAGAAATTGGGCACCCCAGGAATCCTTTCTCATAGAAGACTCCTTCCTGATATGATTTTGAACAGTTAAAATATAAACTGAATGTACAACTCTTCTTTTGTCCAAAGGCTTTTTGGTTTTTGCCTTTACACATAAAGAACAATAATTGTTCTTATCAAAATGAATGTCAAATCATGGAAACGTTGGTGCTTGTTGTCCTTACTTCTGTATCTGTAACGTGTGGAGGGTGGGTTACCCCCACGGCACTTAAGCCTCATTAGGCCCATTGTGCATTCTCGTAAGATGATAGGCACCTCCTAGCTCGTGAGCCAGCCTACAGATTTAATGTAGTTGACAACGTCACCAAGAGGTACTTCTCTTATATCGGCCGGTGGTAGCCGCTACTCGCCGAACACAAATCTTCTAATAAATGAGAGCGTCGAGCAATCGTAAAGGATATGCTCGATGGTATCATCTTCTTGTTCGCACCCTCTGCAAAGTGCGAATTCTGACAGCCCCATGATATGGAGATGCTTTCGTACTTGGCAATGACCAGTCAGAATGCTTTAATAAGGATCAGTATTCCCTTTTCTTTTAATTAAGAGATGCCTTTACTTCCTTTAAATACTTTTATCCATTCGGTAGTTCGAGAGGTCAGTATTCATTTACGGGCCTTACAGTAGCGAAAACGGTGTCACATCCCAGTAGACCATGTGAATTTTTTAATTAATTTACATGGTTCGTTATAGGATTTGATGGGTGCTGTCATTTAATTTCATTTAATTTCTGTTGATATGGCATCCAGATTACAAATCGCAGTACGTTACCGTTTCGATGATAGTAAAAGGAGTTTTCCGAGTTTTTCTTAACTGTAAGTCAAATAATACCATCAATAATTTTTCAGTTACCCCTGGAGCGCGATGGAAATTTTTTTGTAAATTTTTGTCCGTCCCTTGCCCGCACAAGCTCAGTAAGCTTCACGGGTTAAAATTCACTCGTACGAGAGTGAATTATGGGAAGAGTATTATTATTTTTATTATTACTTATTAGTACTCATTGTGGAGATACTTGTAACAAATGAAAACTCTAAAAATTGGTGTAACCGTTACCATGGGCGTCGTTACACAATTCTATAAGGAGGGGCAAAATTTTGAAAAAAAAAAAAAATAGAATGTTTATTTGTTGGAAAACAAAACAATGAAAAATAAAAGAGCATTTTCTTATGATGCATTCAATTATTCTGTGACGTCATGGCTTACTTCCGGTTTTTCCAGAAATAACAGAAAATCGCAATTTATTTTTTAGTTTTAAAAGAAAACCTTTTTTTTATTGAAACTTTGAATTTCTGGGACATTTTTGTATAATAAGCGTGTATTGAAAAAATATGGTGGCCATTTTGACAGCTGACAGAAAATTCTCAATACACGCTTCTTATCCAAAGATGTTCCGGAATTTCAAATTTTCAATAAAAAAAGGGGTTTCGATTTTAAAATAAAAAATAAATTGAGATCTTCAGTTATATCCGGAAAAATGGGAAGTAGATGAAATTATTAAATGGTTTGCTAATAATAAAAATGTTTAGCCTAGCTACTGGTATACGGCAAATAGTTCTCAATGGGAATTTTGAACCTTACAAAGATTTTATAAAGATCATAAATTTCTACATTTTTTCCATAAACGAATTAATAGTAACATGTTTAGAAAAAATATACAAAATGTCCAGAAATTCAAATTTACAATAAAAAAAGAGGGTTTCCATTTAAAAATAAAAAAAATTGCGATTTTTTTGTTTTTTTCCGGAAAAACCGGAAGTAAACCATGATGTCACAGAATAATTAAATCCATCCGATATCTCAATGAATGCAATAAATATTATTCAACCTATAATATTCTTTAACTATATTAGCGTGTTGTGGATTAAGTCGTACAAGCCAAGGGGGGCAACTGCCCAACAAACAACGCCCATGACCGTTACCAGTTGGAGATATTTACATATTTACATAAATTCTTTAATGTTATTCAGTTCTCTACAACTTCCTATAATAGATGAAAAATGTGAGATGAAAATTTATTTTTCGAAAATTTTCACTGTTTCGGAGCGTGCATCTCGAAACTGGTTGAGATTTTAAACAAACTATGCAAAAAAAGTTGTAGAGAATTTAATAAATTTTCATTTCGAAATATAAGCGAAAAACCCAAAAGTGGGATCTTCTTTGTCTCTTCCTGCTTCCGGCTCACCCCTTAAACGTCAGGATATTTAGTATATTCACTTCCTAAGCACCCAGAACAAGTTTTTGAAAAATCGCTTAGGTCCCTGCTGACGCACTCCACACTCCTTTTTGGGCATTTCGTTGACATAACTATAGGAACTTTTTCAATAAAACACAATTTACTTGATAATTGTAATTTTTTTAAATAATAGTGACGTGTGGCTTATGACTTTTAACTGTCACTATAGTATTATTGGCTATAAAATAAAAACAATGACTGGTAGCTCTACAAATAGTAGCTGATGGACAAAATTATTTTGGTAAATAAAATTATAATTACAAACCTGCGTAAACAAAACTTGCAATTTTCGCTCTGCTAGTGAGTGGTACCCAAGCGCTGATCAAATGATGAATGGAAGGATAAATAAATCCTTGCATCAAGCCTTGTATTATCCTACAGAACATCACACCTCCATAGCCAAACTGAGATCCAAAAACTGGAATGAGTATTGAAAATAGTGAGCAAACCATAACGGTCCCCGATAAAAATAATTTTGGACCAAAACGCTCGGCAAGTTGTCCGGCAGGAACCTGCGTCAGGACGTATCCCCAAAAAAAGGACGATAATATCAAATTTTTACTTTCTGACCATTCTGGGTAAGTCTGTAAAAGAAATATTAATATAAAATATGTTTAAAATATGACTCGTTACTAAAACAATTGTTTATGTCCTGGCAAGATGTTTTAATATTTAACATTCTGGAATATATTAGATCTTAAAAAGTATTGTTTTAAAAACATGCCTACACTTAGTAGTAAAGTGTGGAATCCATGTAGATCGCGATACCTCACGATTTTAAATTTTATAAGTTATCACCTTATATTGGTAGTGAACTGCATTTTGTGCTCAAAAAGGTTAACGAAGATTCAAAAACAAAAGACGCGTTAAATGGATAAATAGGTGTAGAAGTTATTTAAAACGGTACCCTTTTATAGGAAAACCATCCGATTTAAGCGATGACTGGGTTCCATCCAGAAACGGGTTGTTGTGGCCATAATAAAGTAGGTACTTTAAACAGATTTCAGATTGCGGTTAGTGATGGGATGATTAAAATTCGAATTCATCGAGTATTCGAATTATATAATTTGAATGATGTTATATGCCATCAATGATTGTGTAGGTCAAGATCAAATTCTAGCTGAGTCACAAGAACCTCCGTTAGCATTTCGCAGACAATACTTGGCGAATAAAGCAGTAGTCAAATATAGATCATATAATACGTTCATAACAAATCAAATCTCAACTATTGCTATAGAAAACCTTACAAATAGATATTGGAAGGAAAAAAAACGCGCCACCTCTAGCTGAAGCCTTTGTTGATACCAGTAATCTCGAAAATCATATAACTAAATACGAACAATACCCGATATTTCTTTATACATTTAAAACAATAATTGTTAAACCCGACATCATATTTCCTACATACTCCGAAATACCCTCTTTGAATAATGCCATCTTGAAAGGAATATTAAATAGATTCATAGACTATGACGTAAATATATACACAGATGGATCCAAAAGTAAAATCGGAACTGGTTTCGGAATTTTTGTTTCAACCACAAATCATATTGAAAAATATCGTATTTCAGACATATCTTCAATATTTACGGCCGAAGCTTTAGCAGTACAAAAAGCACTAGAATGGGTTAAAAACAATTCAATTCAGAAAGCTATAATATTATCTGACTCTAAATCGGTACTACAAGCTCTACAAGGATGCCCATTGAAATATTATAACAATGAAATCATATTTAGAATTAAAGAACTAATTAAAGATGCCAAAATAAAAAACATAAAAATACAGTTCATTTGGGTTAAAGGCCACTCAGGTATTGTAGGAAATGAAATAGTAGATGAGGCTGCCAAACAAGCATGTAGTATTGAAAATATCA